GTAGAGATTTTTAGAACTTTGGAACTTTTCCCTACCCGGAGTGGAAGAGAAGAAAGGATCGTCAAAGCCTCATTTATGTCGGTATGTTTCCATGTATTCTTGTTACGTCAGCTTGAGCAATTTATTGTCGGGAGATTTTTGTTATCGATTCGCGATATACTAGATTTGTCGGACTCTGTATTCTTGTGTCTCATCTTTATCTTGGGAGTACTGTATCCTCCCAAGTATATTAAAGAAATATTGTTATAGTATTCAATGGTTGTCTTGTCTAGTCCCTATTGAGTCCAGTGGATTCCCCTTAATAAGCGTTGTTTCCACCAAGCACGCTTGTTATAAATTTATCCCCTGGTTGAGCACTTATATTTTATCGTGTTGATTCATTCACACGATATTTGTACCCCCACAATTTGGCGTCCACGACAGGATCCACTGTTCTCAGCAGACAAAGACAGCTATCCAATATGGCTACCAACGGTGATCGTGACCTGGTGGGATCCATCTTCACTCCTCAAACCGTCACAAATTCACTGGAAACCCAATCTCTCGCCGCCCCTGTGGTGACCGGTTTTCTGGGAATGATATCGACCTTTTCAAACTTACCAAATGACACAGTTGACATTTATCAGTTCTTCCAAATCTTGGATAATGTTGCAATCTTGGCCCAATGGTCGGAGCGAGTCAAGATAGCTGTGTTACCAGCGAAGTTAAGAGCGGGACCTTTGGCTATGTTCTTTAATTTACAAACATGTTTCCCACATTCATTCGAGGAAATTAAGAAAAAGAGTTTCGACAAATCAAGGTTAAATGAGAAAACAGCCTTGGATGAGATGCTGTCGATCTCCCAGCACCGTGATGAAAGTGTATGTGATTATACGATACGGATGAAGACCTTACTCGCTAGAGCATCCGAAAAGAGTAGTTGTTTAGAATCCATCCGTGACGAGATCATTATGGATCGGTTCATAAGAGGTATGAGATCATCTATTAAACTAGCAGTTCTCCGGGCCAAATCGAGCAATTTAGAAGAAGCTATAACAATAGCCGAGCACATGGAACAAACTGAACTTGCTTGCAAGCCCAGGGGGAATCATAACCTTATTATTAATGAGGCCGCATGCGAAGATGCCGAGAGAGGACCTTCAGATTTATGTTCTATCTCGACCGAGAAGAAAGAGATGACGGATATATTAACCAAATTGGGAGAACTCAGCTCATCCATGGCTGAGCTGACCTCTGCCTTCCAAGAACGTACAAGGTCAATAGATCACCGTAAGAAATGTTTTATATGCGGGGATCCAACCCACTTTGCGAGAAATTGCCCGAACCGAAGGCAGGACCGTTTAAACTGATGAGGAGTCAGGCTAGAGGCCGGTAGCACGACTCCAAGGAACATTTTAATCTGGCCAATACTATTACGTTTACAAAAAGGGGTTTGCCTATGGTGAAGGGGTCTATTGTGGACGAGACAGTGTTTTGCTTGGTAGACTCAGGTGCTGAGAAGTCGATTATTAACTACGAAACGGCCACCAAACTAACCAGAAAAGGCCACTTCTCCTTATCAGACCATGAAATCAACATACGGGGCATAACTGGTCACTCGACTAAATGCAGTAAAGTATTAGAGGTCCCATTCATCGATGGTAGTGATGTCGAGGGAACGGTTAGGTTTACCTGCATGCCACTTCCTAATAACCTCGAATACCAGATAATTCTTGGTATGGATTTCATCGCCTCGAACCCACGGATTTTGCATAATATAAGGAGCATCCTTGAAGTTGCAGACGGGACAGAATCGAACAGAGAGAGTAGTATAGAATTCTCAAACGTGGGCCACATGACGGACACCATCTGTGGACTTCCAGATTTATCACATTTAAGCGATGACGTTCGCGTAATCGTCAAGGAAGTGCTCACGGAACATACGGGGTCATTCGCAAATCGTATTGAAGATCTGACGGGCACGACTAAGTTCACCCACAAGCCGGAATTCCTGTCTAGCCTTCCCATCAACATTAGACAGTACCGAATCCCTCATGTTTACCTCCCACAATTGAAAGAGATGATCGACTCCTTTATAAAGGCAGGGATCTTAGAAGAAAGTTTGTCCGAGTGGAATTCCCCCGTGCACCTAGTGCGGAAGGAATCCGGTGAACTGAGGATGACTCTGGACCTGAGGAGAATTAATGATATCACCAAATTCCAGGAATTCCCCCTGAATAGAGTGGACGACATCTTGTCACAACTCCACGGAAATAAATTTTTTTCGGTTTTAGACCTAAAATCCGGATACTATCAGATTCCGCTAGAAAAATCAATTAGAAAAGTTTTTGCCTTTTCGACCCCCTGGGGGAAGTTCCAGTTGTGTCGCATGCCGCAGGGAGGCAAGAATAGCGGCCGTTTCTTCCAGTATGTTATGAATAAAGTATTGGCGAAGTATATAGGTGTGAAATGCTTCGTCTTCCAGGATGATGTTGTTCTGTTCACTAAGACTATGGAAGAGCATATCAGTTTGTTGAGTGAGGTGTTGAAATTGTTAGAAGGTGCGGAATTAAAATTGAACCCCAGGAAGTGTAAGATCATGGTAGACGAAGTTAAGTACCTTGGTCATATCGTTAACCGAGCGGGGATTCAGCTGGATCCCGGAAATATCAAGGCCATTTTAGATCTCCCACCCCCCCGGGATGTCTCCGGCATCCGCAGCTTCCTTGGAATGGTGGGGTTTTATAGGAGCTTCATCTCAAATTTTTCTACCATCGCAAACCCCCTGACCATGTTGTTGAAGAAGGGTGTAAAATTTATCTGGTCTTCTAAATGCGAAGACGCTATTGAAAAATTTAAGAGGCTCCTATCCCAGCCGCCTGTACTTAAGTACCCCGACTTTGAAAAACCCTTCTTTATTCACTGCAATGCATCTGACCTCGCTGCAGGAGCAGTCCTCCAACAGCCCGATAACGGATATTTGGCCCCCATAGGATATTTCTGCCGGAAGTTTAGGGGAGCAGAGATAAACTACTCAACGGTCGAAAAGGAGTGCTACGCGATTGTGTTGGCCCTTCGCCATTTTAGGTTCATCTTATTGGGCAGACCTGTTACTATATACTCCGACCACAAGCCTCTGTCTTACCTCCGGGAGTTTAAAAATCATAATAAAAGGTTGATGAGATGGGCCATGCAAATATCCGATTATGATATAGAGGTTATACACGTAAAGGGGAGCGAAAACCCAGTGGCTGACCTAATTTCCCGGGGATGTAACAATAACGTCGTAGGCGACAGCGTAACAACTTATATCTGCCACGAGAGTGAAACCCCGGCGCTGGTCACGAAGATTGTTGCCTCTCAAGACCGTGACGATTATATCAAGGCCATTAAGAGTCAATTAATGGGGCAGAATCCAAACCACGACCGTATACCAAGGGAGGCCCGTGGATACAAAATCTTGAATGGAGACCTGTTTTGGCAGGATAGTGACGATCGTGGTCATAGTAATCTAAGGCTTTGTGTTGGGGAAGGAGCCATAAAGGAAGTAATTAGTCATTTTCACGTATCCACGTACGCTGGTCATAGAGGGGTTAATATTGCCAATATAAGTCTCAATACAAACCATATAATCCGTACTAAAAGAGGCTAAGTGCAAAATAGGGATGTGGCGATGTGGAACGATAGTCATAGCCCAGGGACTATTGTTAGTACCTTTAACTGTAGAGCAGTAAGCTGGAATAGAGGTAGGTTGATTACGTAAACAATATGGTTCTTGAACCAACACTAAGTCATAGTTGTGTATTTCACTCGCTAAGAGAGAACTGGCAGCAATGCTCCTGTGTAAATTAACTTGCAAAACAGTAATACTATTTTTATAATTCTGACCCATAGTCAGTCCTATTTATCAGGTTAGCTTTTATATGTTGAAACACTTTACAAACAGGATCTCTAGCATTGTGCCTATGTTCCTCAAAGTGGTTGTGCCGGCAGTTGATACATGTAAGAGGCTCTCCAAGTTTAGGACAATCCTTAAATGCGTGATTCCCAGAACACCGGCTGCAAATGTTATATTCCTCTGAATATTTCTTTGTGCTATGCCCAAAGCAGCAGCATTTAACAAATTTAACAAAAACACTGCAGGACTGGGCAAAAATCTATGGCCCTGCAGCGCGACCATCCAATATTTAATTTATCTAATCTTAATACCTGTGCACGCATGGATGGAGAAACCTCAATGACCCAATTTTGATAGTCGCCTCCCCGCTTTCCAGTAGAAAATTTAAGGCGAAAATCCTGTTTAAAATCCTCTTCCGAATATAAAGAGTGGAAAGATTCATTTTGGTAATATATATTTCGGAGCAATTCTTCTTTAGTATCATGTTTAGGAATAGAAAAAATCATCAAATGAGGTCTCCGTTTTTTAGGCCGTTTAGTATTAACCTCAGGTATATGTTCCTTGACATAATTATCAAGAACATTAATGTCCTCACTTTTCTCGAGCTCAACAGCAATACCCCCATTTCCAATCCTACGAACTCTGTCAACACCAATCTTTATCCTCGATGGATTAACTCGTTCCTTAATAATTTTACATACATCATCACTATTACCATTGTCACTAGCATTATAGATCAGAAGAACATTTTTCGTTGTGGGCACATGTTTTTGCTTAGTAG